AAACCCTAAAGTTTAGGGTTTCCATGCACAACCACTACTCGTCGAGTCGGGGTCCTCCGACTCGTCGAGTAGAAGTCATAAATCACGCGAGCTGACTAAGTTCGATACGACGAGTTGGGGCCTCCAACTCGTCGAGTTCCTTCAATAAAATGTAAATAAAGCTTTTAAAAATATACCTGGGAGTCGGGGTGTTACAGTAAAAGATTACAACTGCGAGATTTTGTACCATCCCGGGAAGGCCAATGTGGTGGCCGATGCTTTGAGCCGTAAGACGGCAAGTGCTCCGATTCGAGACGTCTACTTGAGGATGACAATGATTTCACCTTTATTGGATATGATCAAGGAGGCACAGGTGGAGGGTTTGAAAAGGGAGAACTGGAATATTGAGCGTATTCGGGGGGAGATTCCATTGTTTGTTCGAGACAGCCGGGGGTTATTGACTCAGTGTAACAGAGTTTGGGTTCCGGCATTCGGGGGAGTGAGGCATAAGGTCTTACAGGAGACACATAAGTCTAAGTTTTTCTATTCATCCGGGGGCCACAAAGATGTACTGAGACCCTTGATTGAGCTATTGGTAGACCTGCATGAAGCGGGAGGTTGCGTGGAAATGGGAAGAGATCACCATGGATTTTATCATGAAGTTACCTAGGACAGCGCGGGGTGTGGATTCCATTTGGGTTATTGTGGACAGGTTGACTAAGAGTGCGTATTTTATTCTGATTTCCGAGAATATCTCCGCCGAGAAATTAGCAGATATATATGTGCGGGAGGTGGTGGTCAGGTACGGAGTGTCGGTATCCATATTCTCGGACCATGATGTTCGTTTCACCTTCCATATTATGGAGGAAGTTCCATGAGGAGTTAGGTACTCAATTGCATTTCAGCACTGCTTACCACCCCAGACCGATGGTCAGAGCGAGCGAACGATTCAGACGCTCGAGGATATGCTTCAGGCATGTATATTGGATTTCGGAGGGAGTTGGGATACTTACCTTCCACTAGCAGATTTCTCATACAACAATAGTTATCATGCTAGTATTGACCGACCCCCGTTTGAGATGCTGTATGGTCGGAGGTGTAGGACTCTAGTTTATTGGGTAGAAGTTGGGCATCGAGTTATGGGAAGCACTGAAGTGGTGCTTAAGACCACTAAGTTGATTCAACTGGTGTGTGATAGACTGAGGGTTGCGTAGAGCCGCCAGAAGAGCTATGCTGACCGGCATCGATCAAATCTCGAGTTCCAAGTAGGTGATTTTGTGTTGCTAAAGGTGTCACCTTGGAAGGGTGTCATTCGATTTCCGAAGAGGGGAAAGCTGGGGCCCCGATTCATTGGTCCTATCAGGATTTCTGCCCGAGTTGGCAGGGTTGCTTATCGGTTGGATCTTCCAATCGAGCTTAGTCAGATCCATAACACCTTCCACATGTCTCAGCTCCGGAAGTGTGTTGCAGATGAGGCTGTCGTTATTTCTTTGGATGATATTTAGGTGGATAGGAGTATGGATTATGTGGAGAAGCCCATTATAGTTTTGGATAGAAAAACTAAAGCTCTTCGTAACAAGATTGTCAAGCTAGTGAAGGTGCAGCGGCAGCACCGGAAGGGCTTCGAATGGACTTGGGAACCGGAGGACGATATGCGAAAGCATTACCCGGATCTATTTGCGACTGCGGACTTCGAGGACGAAGTCTAGTTCAAGTGGGGGAGAGTTGTAACACTCCAATCCACATATTCCATTGTCCACCTCCTTGTATTTTTCATTTATTTTTGGCAAAAAGGACCTTTCTGTACGTTGGGCGTACATTTGGTACGCTTAGCGTACATGAGAGATGTGCATCAGGTGGCTAAGACTCGTACGTTGGGCGTACGAGCAGGTACGCGGGGCGTACGTGTCAGATATCTAAAACCCTAATCCTTGGACTTGCACCTTATTTAAGCAACCTTACATCATTTGGACCAAACCCTAATCAGCCTCCATAGCCTCATTTCGTCCCTTAACCCTAGATTTTCATTGAGAGTGCGATCCTTGAGCTTAAAGAGTGTTTTGGAGGCCATTTTAGAGATCATTCAAGAAGGAGAAGGTGGTGAGCAAGTCGTGGGTGTCATTGAGCTTCTAGATCCTGCATCTATTTCATCTTGAGGAACTTCTAGAGGTATAAAGTCATCACCTTGTCATCTCTTTTGTTAGTTTGAGCTAGGGTTTTGTTATGGAGTCCCTTTTTGGTTCTTGGACCCTCTCTTGTGAGTTGAGCAACTCCAGAGACTAGGATTGTTAGATCTAAGCTCTTTGAGAATGTTAGATGCATAAATGTGCCATCTTGAAGGTTGTTTTGATTCCATGCATGAACTTGAAGTCTTAAATGAGGTCTTAATGGGAAGAATAGAGTATTAGGGACCCTTATGGAAGAAGTCTTAAATGAGGTCTTAATGGGAAGAATAGAGTATTAGGGACCCTTATGGAATGTAAGGGCATAAAGTTGCCAACTTTATGCCTTAGTACATCTTAATGGACTCAGATATGAAGTTTAACGTTGAAATTCCAAGTATTAAGCACTCAATGGTCGTGGTGCATAATCAGCTTGTACGTTGGGCGTAATATCATATACGCTGCGCGTACATCCAAGGGGCTTAGTATGCTAAGCGTATTGGAGTGGTACGCTAGGCGTACACACCTCATATGGGTTTGGGCTTCGTGTGGGCTCGTAAGCTTATTGGACTTTATTGTGTTTTGGGCCTAGTCCCATATTGGACTGTTATTCTGTTTTGGGCCATAGTTGTATTGGTTGGGCTTGTTGGGCCATGAGGCCCATTAATAGCTTTTATATTGGATCCTAGGCCCATTGGTCAAAGAAAGACTTTTGGGCCACCATGGAAGTGCTTAGGCTTAAGTGTTTGGAGTCTTTGATTAGGTGAAATTATAATCCTAATTTAGGTTTATTTGTATTATTGTTCGGTGTGAGGTTTCAGACTGTTAGGCGAGCAACTATTGTGTTCAGCAAATTGAGGTGAGTCTTCTCACTACATCCATGGGTCGAAGGCACCAAGGTCGACCCATTATTTGTTATAAGATGTTATTAATTGATTATGTTATGGTTTGCATTGACTTATGTGAAGACCATGGGGGGAGCCCATGACACTTGACAAGACCTTGGGGGAGGGGAGCCCATGACACTGGGATACAAGACCATGGGGGTAGCCTACAACATTCCAAATGAAGACCATGGAGGGAGTCCATGGCAAACTTATGTTTATGTGTGCATCGCAATATATGGTTATGTGTTTATGTGTTTTTGGGAAACTCACTAAGCGTGTGCTTACAGTTTTGTTGGGTGTTTCAAGTACTTCTGTTTCTAAGGGCAATTACCCAGCTTGATGACACAACGGTACTCCCCAGTATTTCTTAAATTAGTATTTGAATACTCTGATCTTTTAAACAATGTAGTTATATAATGGGATTTTTGGAAACAAATGTGGTTGATATTATTAATTATTTTATGAAAAAAATCCTATGAATTTTGGGTGTTACACGTCGTGAGCCACCACTGAACTACTAGGTCCATTTTCTCCTGTAGATTACAACCCTTTCTCCCTTCACCTTCCCATATAAAGTTCCAAACTTGAAGAAGTATTTGGAAACTAAAGTTTAGAAAGATTATGATAATCAAGTAAATGAAACAAAAACAAGCTCTTGTAATTGCGGTTTTGCTTTAGAAGATCCGAAGTCATGGAACGAAGAGAAACAAATACATCTAAAATTGAATATGAGATTTTTGAATACAAATTGTAATCAATGATTTGAATTCAGACATAACGAAAAACAGTAATAATAGTAATAGAAACTTGATTTTTCCCTTTTTCGAATTATAGAACATTGTGTACATGAAGTGATACAGTTTATAAGAAAAAAATACGATGTCGATTGATTAACAGGGACTTGATTAGCAGCTTCGGATGGTTGGACTTGATTAGCAGCTTTAGATGGCTGAAAACCATCCCAGAACACACAAACCGAGTCGCATTGGGACATGTCCCGATCAATTTAATGTTACAAAAAATACCATCATCTCCACTTTTCCTGTTCCACAACACCCTCTAGACGCCTCCACAAACCCTAAAATAAACGATTAGATGTAATCATGTAAACGAAATCGAATTTTGACTATAAGGATATGAAATTTCAAACTTAATTTCTGCTACCATGGGAGGCGGGATTTTTTGATCAGGTCGTAGAGTGGTTGAAAGATGTCGAAAATAACCATCTTGAGCCCTGGGTGTTGTGATACAAGTTGGGTTGTAGCTAAATTTATCTTCTTGTTTAATGATTGAGCATCTGTGTTGATCTTCGCTATAGACCCCTTTCCATGAGATCTGAACAAAATTCTCACTACCGACAAACAGTCAAGCGGTGGGAGCGATTCCACTCCGATTCTCCTTGCTCCTAATCCATACAAATCCTTTTTTTCTTTGTAAATTGTAATCAATTAGTAAAATCTACAATAGTAAAACACCTGGTTTCAAGAATTGGTTATGGTGGATTAGGATTAATTTTACCTTGATGAAGCTTGAAAAAGCTTCAGACAAGGTAGGATCCGTATTTGAAAAAAAAAAAACCGTTTTGGGCGTCCGCCGGAGAGGTCGCCGAAGCTTGTATCCGCCGGAAATGCCGCCGGAGGTGAACCCCAAAACAGGTTTTACCTGCTATTGCAGGTAATAGTGGTATGTTTAAAAAAAACAAATCTAAAGATTAATAGTGCACCAAAAAATATTCTATGACTGAATATGTTCAAGTGCTATAATTGATTACACTTTCACATCATCCCTAAAAAATTTGATACTACAAAACTTAGTTATTTTCGGTAATATATATTTGTCCTAAGAATTTATTTCTCCACATAATTGTGTGGACCAAAAAAGTAACAAAAATAACTATGGTGGTCACGTGCAAAGCTCGTGCTCAAAATAGGAAAGTAAAGCCCTCTCCTCCCTTTTTGCCTTTTCCGTTTGCATTCCTGCAAAACACAGCAGTCGCTTTTCCCTTCGTTCTGGAAAATCTCGATCCGTTTCTATACCGTTAGGGTTTTCGGCTTACTAAAGCTCCACATAATCCGTACCATTTGTGGGATCGAGCTCCGCTGATCTTCATCATGAAGCTCACCGTAAAGACTCTTAAAGGGAGCCACTTTGAAATTAGGGTTCAACCTTCCGACACTGTGAGTCCCCTTACTCCTAAATATGTTTGCAATTCTTTTCCAAATAGACCAAAATTACTGATTTTGATGTGTTTACATATGATTAGAGAAGCACGCATGTCATATCTTTCCCATACATCGTAGTTTATTATCCAGTTTGTATGTTTTCTCTGTGAATCTGAACCTTTATGTCTACCATTCTGTTAAATTGACGAAGAAAGTCAGGAACTTTATCTGTAGCAATGATGCATCTGAGTTCTTTTTCCACATACATTACTAATACAAGACTTCTTACATTACCAGATTATGGCAGTCAAGAAAAACATTGAAGATGTACAAGGAAAAGATAATTATCCATGTGGGCAGCAGTTATTGATTCACAATGGTAAGGTTCTAAAAGACGAAACTACATTATCAGATAACAAAGTCTCAGAAGAAGGTTTTCTTGTTGTCATGCTAAGCAAGGTAACTTTCTTACTTATTTAGTTATTTACAGTGTTAGTTTTTACCTTGTTTCTTTTTTTTTTACCTTCATATCATAATTCTGTTTACTTCCATCTCCCAACAGACTAAAAGCTCTACCTCAGGTGTAACTTCATCTACTCAGGTAAACTTTTATACCTATCCTCTTTATATATAACCTTCACTATTGAAATCTCATATTAGTAAATTACAAAACAGCCCCTTCAAACAACTGCATCAGCTTCCAATCCCACCAGTACATCTTCTTCTATCCCAGCAACAGCAACAGTAACACCACCTGCTGCACCACCGTATGAGCATTTTGTCCAAAATTCTTTTTCATTTATTTTTTAAAAGAAATTGTTAATAACATTTTAACTCGTGTTTTATGAAACTACAGTGTTATTTCTGATACATATGGTGAAGCTGCTTCAAATGTAGTAGTCAACAATAGTAGTGTTGACCAAACTGTTCAACACATAATGGACATAGGAGGTGGGGTTTGGGATAAGGAAACTGTTACTCGTGCACTACAAGCTGCTTACAATAATCCAGAACGAGCAATTGATTATTTATATTCTGTATGTTTCCAAATCATCTTTTTATTTTTAATATCTTTTAAAACTTATAATACACTAATAATGTTCCAATTTCTTTTTTCAGGGTATTCCAGATACAGTTGAAGTTGCAGCTCCTATGACACAACTCCCTACTACTCATGTTGCACCTCTTTCTGGAGGACCTAATTCATCTCCTTTGAATTTGTTTCCTCAGGTTACTAATCATTCAGATGTTTTTATTGAGTTTATTTTTTTTTGTAGTTGATGCAGATGATTATTTGTTTTTGGATTTATGTGCAGGAAATGCCTTCAAGTGGTACAGGTGGCAATCTTGGATCCCTTGATTTTCTTAGAAACAACCAACAGGTGGTATTTATGTATCCAACCCTCCAAATTAATGTCATTTTTTTTAATATGCTGAATTAGTTATCAGTGCCAATGTGGCGTCCAGCTTGGCTCCTATGTGGAAAATTAGTTGATATTATATAATTTATTAATTATTTAAATTCCAATCTGCATTTCAGTTCCAAGCATTGCGAACTATGGTACAATCAAATCCACAAATACTACAGGTACACTTTTTGTTATTCTTTCTTTATATCTTTATTTTTTTTGTTACATTTTTAAAAACAGTTTTCATTTGTTTCAGCCTATGCTTCAAGAGCTTGGAAAACAAAACCCTCAGCTTTTAGGACTAATCCAAGAAAATCATGCTGAGTTTCTTCAACTAATTAATGAACCTGTAGATGCTTCTGAAGGGTCAGTAAACTATATACTATAATTACTATTACAAATTTATAATGACAATCAAATTATTTTAGTAAAATAATTTAAGAGGCTGTAAGCTGTATGCGATTATGAATTAAAAATTCTACTTTGAACTTTTATTCTAGGGATCTGTTTGATCAACCGGATCAGGAAATGCCACATGCTATCAGTGTAACTCCAGAAGAACAGGAGGCGATTGAACGGGTAATTTATATTTATATTTTTAATTTTAATAATATATAGTTTTATTTTTGAATTAGTTAATTAATTTTTGTTGTATTTTCAGCTTGAGGCAATGGGTTTTGATAGAACTCTTGTTATTGAGGCATTTTTAGCATGTGATCGAAATGAGGAATTGGCAGCTAACTTTTTATTGGAGAATGCTGGTGATTATGAGGACTAAATAGAGATCACAAATCTATGTATTCGGAAAGGTATATAGTAATATATATATATTGTTGTTTTTGTTTTACTTAATGCAAAAAGAACAACTTATTTAATATTTTTATATTTTCAGGTGATTTTGACTTGGGAGGTTTTATGAAACGCGACAGAGACCCATTTTAGGTGGTGGTTTATACAGTTTGGACGTTTATTGTATTGTCCATGGAACTGAGGCTTTCTTTTTTCTTATTTATTTGCGTTGTTTTTTTTTTCTATTTAATTTAATTTTATACTTATCCCAAATATGAAGGGATGAACAGGATTTTGTTTGTGCATTTCAGTTGACTTGTGTGACCCTGATTTTTTTTTTTTTTTTCGTGTCTGACCAGTTTGTTACTGCTAATGTCCCGACTTACTTTTCTTCCAAGTATCATTTTCGGTTTGTTGACTAAGGGGACTTGGTTACGTATAATATAATCTGTTTTAGTAAATAGTTGTTTATAAAATCATAAACAGTAAGTATCATAAACATCTGGCTACTACCATACTACAAAACCATCAAAACAAATATAAAACTTCTATTCGAACATTAAGAACCTTTTTCTTTTGCTTTTTCTTCCATCTCCTCATAATTAACGTTCCTCAATGTGTTTCCTTCAATTTATAGTTACCATGAAAATTGTATTTTGTTGTAATTTTTTAATCCTAACTATGCATTTATTAGGTGACATTATGAGGGTCAAAGTCAAGTTGTCAACCATCTTAGCTATCAAAATTCACATTACCACGATCATGGTTCCAAAAGTTGTCTTAGGGTTTGGATTAACATAGATGGTTACAAATGACGATCAATGGAGATAAAGAGGTTTTCTTTTGAAGAAGTGTTTAAGTGTCATAGGAGGATTGCTTTTGCAAGGTTAATCATTGCAAATACATGAAATGTCGGTAGCATCACGTGTGTAAGTGTGTTGTAAATGATGATGCTACACATATTGAAATACATTACAAAACTTGATTTTGGGGACCAAAGTGGTTAAAATTTAAAGATGATGACCAAATCTGTACTACTTGGATAACCGTAATGGCCATTTATAAAATTCACTTAATAATTTATTAAACTTTATGATCCTTTAGACTTTAGAGCATACATAAGTTGAGTTTTTTTTGGGAGTTTTTTCAAAACCTTTTCTAAACTAAAAAGATTTTAAAATTTGAAAAAGATATTATAGTACCCTTTTTAAATCGAAGTTTTTTCAAAAACCTTGTTGATTTACATTCACTTACCAAGAGATTTTTCAATGATCATCTTATTCTAATAAATGAAGATTTTTTTGCTATATGTATGGCCGGTCCCAGAAAATTAAATATTCTCAAAGACCAGGATAAACTAGAAAAAAATAATTCTTA